AAGGACAGGAAGGCCTGGCGCAATATGGTTCATGGGGTCACAAGGAGTCGGACACGACTTAACGACTAAACAACAACAACAAAAATATCTTTTCATCTCTGTCCTCATAATGTTGCCTACATCTCATTCCCAGCTCATGAGTAAAGACAGTCTTATTCCGACACAGAAAGCTGCTTAAGGGCAGCCTCAAGATGTATAAAACCTGTTAGGCTTAGTAATTAGGTGATGTAGTGTAGTAAGTAGGTGATGCAGTGATGTAAAAAAAAAAAAAGCAAGATTGAGATCAGCAAAAGAGACAGCCAGTATACTTCTCTGCCAACTCAAGGAAGGGTGGGAGGCATGTCAGCTCAGTAATAGGAAAATCACTAATGAAGAAACGGCATTCTATGCTGGCCCTAGATGCAGCAGAAGGCACTGCATTTGTTGTTGCCTGCATTTCACACCCTTGATGTGTACCTGGATCCTGCCTGCCTCCATGCTGCAGGGCAAGATAGAACATTGCTCTCTCACATACGTCAGCCATGTGTGAAGCCTCTTCCAACAGGAGCAATGGCCACTTTTTGAGGGAAAAACGTTCTACTCTTTGGTCATGCCATCAAACTAGTGATGGCATTGCTGTTCGTAGCCATAATTTTACTTCTGTGGTCCCCTATTGCTCAAGCAGAGCATGACTTCCCAGGCTGGAGCATGCTGGTAGCCTGACAAAAACAAGGTCATTCTCCAACTGATTTTCAAGTAAGGCAAGATGGGGACAATGGTGGCCAGAAGCCAGCCTGGGTTGAGGTACCCATGGATTGGGAAGAGCAGCTATGACGCTCGCACAGTGTTCCCTGACCCAGCTGCTCACATTATTATCAGTACTCTATTAGTAAATCTTCATTTCAGTACCTCTTTCCATGTGCAATGCCTTTCACCCATGCTGCGATATCTCATAGTGCATATTCATTTGTGAGTTGAGCACTCTACGGTCAGGCTGCTAGGAAGGTTGTGAGTCGATGCTTGCTGTTATAGGTTGCAGCTGCAATGGTAATCAAGGAATCTCTTGTCAGAGTTGCCATGAGGGACATATGAGTGTCTGCTCTCATTTGGCTGAGGTTGGGGTTGCACAGTGCAGCCATGAAAGTCAGGACTATGACCTGCCATAGGTGTCTGTGCACCAGGAGAGTACATTTGGTATTGGGACAGAACAGGAATAGGTTGGAGTCTACAGTGATTGCCGTGGGGGGGGGGCGGGCAATGGGTAGGTATAGTTATCAGTGCTTAAGGGCCCAAAGCAATCACCCTACAGCTTCCCTGCTCCAATTCTCTAGCAGGGCTGCCATGCTTCCATAAAATCCCTGCACGCCCTAATGAGTATCATAGAGCATAGCATTGTATGTGCTCACACAGTTTTCATTCCCTGGATTGCAGATTTCTTCCCCATCACCATGCAACTCTACCTCAGCATATGCTCCAATCTGTTCTGCAATGGTAGCTTCCCAACTCTTCTCTGTTCCTAACTGGCTCTGGTTCAGTATGAACTTCCAGGTGGGTATTTGTATACATTTATTTGCAACCACAGGTTTTAGCAACATTCATATAAAATTGCAACGATCCATATCATTTCAATACATCCCCTCTGATATTAACAGTACTATCTGTCAACATCTGCTTTTGTATCTTCCTTGAAGCCATTGTGCTATGTCAGTGCTATATAGTCCGACAGTGAGCAGAGGGGTCACACTTATTCAAAAACCAGAAAATGCAAATACCATATATGAGGAAGTGGTTGGCAATCTTAAACCTCTCATAGCAAGGGAAAATGACTGAAACCCCAGTTTCATGGTTTAACCACGAACGTAGGTGTGAAAGAAAGGAACTGGTTAGATTAGTCAGACAAATTAAGAAGGATAAATCATTTGACAGAGTAAGAGATAAATGCTGAAAATATCAAGCACTGATAAGGAGGAGTAAAAAAGGTTACTGTAAAAGCCAGTGGCGATAATTAAGACTGTCCTGTTTACAAAATAATGATACAAAATTCTGGGACCTAGTTTTCCAAGGCAAGAATGAAACAGAAGCACAGATTTCACCTGAACTTTGGATAGCTTATTTCAAAAAGAAATTTGAAGATATTAGAATATCAAACCAATAGTTAATAGACACAGATATATTAAAAACATCATTAAAGTGGCTGCTGCTAATTGCTGAAGAAGTTAAAATAATAATTTTACAACAGACATCTGGCAAAGCCCCAGGAGAGGATATGTTACCACCAGAAATGTTTAAGGCATTCCTGATTGGTGGGCTCCTATGCTCACCTCCTTGTTTACTTATATCAGTGTCACCGGGCGAATCCCTATAGGTTGGAAAAATAGTGTAGTAATTCCAATATTTAAAAAGGGAGATTCCACAAACCCACTAACTTTCACCCAATAAGTCTTATTGACATAGGTTGTAAGTTATCTACAAGGTGTCCAGATAGTTATTTGTGCAGAGCATGTTATAGGTAAGGCTACTAAGGGCAGATCCCCGTTCCCGCTTATATTCTGCAACTTGGGGCACTCTGACGTATTTTACTCTTATTGGCAAAAAGACATGCAGATGCCTACCCATTTTGGTAATGTGCAATGGGAAGAGGATCACATCTGTGGCAATACTGTTACTGAAGTCACTGATTTCACATGGTTCTAGCAGTAGCTGCTGAACAAGAAGCATGTATAATAGAGTGCACCAGTATTTTAACCATGCCATTGTTTGGCATCCAAGAACAAGTAGGAGCAATGAGTGGGCCAGGACCAGCAAGTGGAAGAGAGATTCCACAGGCCTGTCTTACCATTTCATGACCACCCACAGAGTTGCAGTACTGCACGCACACCCAGTCAAAGCCTACCTGTTTTAGATCTGCAAGGACTCCATGCGCTGCTCTGCCTTCTGTTAGGTGTTGCTGGTCACCTGGGCAGTAGAGTTCCCTCTGTGGTTCTGGTGATCAGGTGTTTCTGCACTGAAGGAATGAAGTTTTCCCTTGTTCTTACAATATTATGGAAGACTACACAGGAAAGTTTTGGGGCAGAGCAGACATGTAGTCACTGGAGAAACAAGGTAATGAAAACATATAGTAACTTGTAGTAAGCAGGTAAAATGCTTGCCAAGCAACAGAACAGTTGCGGGGAATTGGGCGGCATATAAATTTAATCATCATCATCAGTGGAAAGTGAATGGCTTGTATTGAGAAAATGAAATGCGTGGCTGTGTTGTGCTTGTGCATTCATGCCATGGGACTGAGTAGTCAACCTAAACATTTTTTTAAAAAATGGAAGGAAACTTTGGAGAACCTGTGTCTAGATTTCATGCAGGGGACCCCTGACTGAGTGGCTGGGGTGCCTGGAAAAGAGGGTAGTCCTGGCGTGAGTGCAGCTGCAGAACCAATAGGAGCACCCAACTGCTGCAACACAAGTCACACCTGACAACTGCTCCTTTGCACATCAATAGGCCACACATCACCCCAGCAGAAGGTGTGCTCTAGAGCAGTGTTCCTCAACCTTGGCAACTTTAAGACTTCAACTCCCACAATTCCCCAGCCAGCATGCTGGGAGTTGAAGTCCGGTTGAGAAACACTGCTCTAGACAGAAAACTGGTTGAATATCCGCGCTGCCACCAGGTGGCCTCAGCTACAAGTTGACCTCTGGCTGTGCGCGGAAGAACGCCACTAAGGCTCCTTTGCGCGGTAGGCAGGGTTCTGCGTGGATGTGACCCTAGATTTTGCCTAACTACACACGTGGTAGTGTGGGAAACACCAGCTGCCCTACGTGTGGTTTATTCCAAGAGGCTTGAAGAAGCGACTCATCGCTGTCGAAGAAAGCAGGTCCAGCTCCGTGCTAAATACTTATAACTTAGTTGGTCCCGTCGATTTCTTCTGATTCATGATTGGGAAGCTTCTGCACATGAGCTGATCTCGAAATGTGGCTTCTCCCGAGTTCAGCGCCTCTACAGAAGCAGATGCCCCCGACTCTGCAAATGCCAGTCTCCCGCTGAGCTGCTTAACCACCCCAGCGTTACTGTTCATGAGCTACGTTGTAATAAGAAAAGCAGCCCCGCGATTCGTCTCTTCTCCCCTTTCCAGTCTCAATAATTCCATTTTCAGTCTAAACCGCAGCTTCTCCCGATGGTGAGATGAAAAATCAGTAGTTTCATCCAGCGCGCAGATCTAATCCTCGAAGCCCCATAACATCAAAATGCGGAGCCGACGCTCCCGCCCAGACTGGTACCAGTGGGAGGCATCGCTTCCCCCTGGTATCTTTCTAGGCATGAATCACAACACCCCGATGAACGCCGAGATACAGCTTTCGGGCTGCTGAGTGAGGAATTAAAGCCCAGCCTATTCGGGAGTCTCTCTCCTCCCCCTTGCAGGCTGATAATCAGGTCTCGCTCCGCCTTCACTCCGCCTCTCCACTGAAGCTGTGGGTCCCCGTGGCAGCCATCTTTGTTGATGTGTCAGCTTTCAGTTCCTGTTAGGGGCTGCAGCAGGAACAAGAGGAGTGAGAATGACTGTTTACCCTCCCGCTACACGCACACCCACAGCCGCACGCCTTCTGGGTCCTTGGTACTAATTAGCAATGGGAGAGCGGCTACTAATGCCACAGATGCTCCGGTTCCCAGCCTCCTAGCAGACGGGTAAGCGCTTCCCGACTGGGCTTGGGAGCATATTGGAGATCTGATGAGGCTTCGATCACAAAGAATGTGGATTAAGATCTGTAGGCTGAGAGAGGGGAATGTGGACTCGGGTAGTAAGCAGGAAAAGCTGCTCTCGCTGAGCGGGTGGATTCCCACGGTTTCATTTCCTACCTGCTCGAGTTTTTTGCGGGGGGGGTTTGTTTTTTTAAAATCGGGAAGTGTTTTTGACCTCAGGCGCTGAACATTCAACGAGGCTTCCTCGTCTGCTCCTCCCGCGGACCCCTGCGTAGGTCAGTAAGTAGGGTTCCCTAAGGGCAATATTTCTTAGCCCGCTCCTCGTATTAAAGCATTCGTTGGCTTCTGTCGTTTTCGTTAAATGCTCATGGTCGGTCGTGCTAACATGAGATAAACCCAGATGTAGTTATCCTACCAGGAAGTAAATGATAGAAAGGTGAACGTGTTGGCCTCAAGGTCAGATGTGTAAGGAACGAGGAATTCCTTTTAATTCCGCGGCTGAGCGACCCTTTAGGGACGCCTTTGTAGATCTCGGTGCTGCCTCTATAGATTGTGCCGCCTCCTTTCTGTTACGCGTCTGAAGTTGTCAGGTGTAAAATCGTTTGGGGTCTCTAATGGTTCTGACCTCTGATGCTGACAATACCCCCGGAATATAACTATTTTAAATCAAACCTTCGTGAAGCTTTGCGTGACTTGGTTTCAGCTTCGCTAGTGCAGGATGCCTGTGAAATTTAGATTTAGCATTTAGGTTTGCAAAATGTAGTACAGGAATACATGAGATGAAAGAGCTTTTTTTGTTGTTGTTAAGGCAAAAGTCTTACCTGAAAAGCTTTTGGATTTGCTATATGTTCTATTCTTATTTTATTTTACTGGTTTGCAATTAAAATATTTTCTCAATCAAATATTAATTCTGAGTTGCATGGCCAAAAGGCATAGATAAAAAACCTCTTTTCCTACTGTTGTTTCTCTCTTCTTTCTTCCTTATCAATAAGACTACTGCATATAAAGTGGTTTTGGTGTCTTTATCAGAAGATCTGTGAGCTTCATTGTGTTTATTTAAGAGTAAATCCCACTAGGTTCAGTGGGAATTACTGACAGATAAACATCAGCCTGTGTTATTGTGTTGAATGTTGAGCTTTAAACAAGGGGTTTTGTGGCTTCCATATTTAAAAACCAGGTAGCCAGATGCCTATAAAAGCAGATGATATAAGGTTCTAAGTCACTTGGCGAGATCCCAGAAATCAATCTGTTCACAAAGCCATTCCACACAATTTAGCCATGATTCCTGCCCATATTGCACAGTGATCTTTCTGAACTGCTTTTGTTACAGGCTGAAACTTAAACAAATGTAATTTGACATACTTGAGTATTCTTTTAAAAATTAATAGCTAAGGAATATTACAGCACTGGTGTCTTGGTTCTTGGACTTTATTCACGCATTTTGTGAACCACAGGTATTGTTGTTTTTTTTGCTTTTTTTTTTTGGGTGAAACCATAAGGTTGGTAATTATAGATATATGACAGCCATGTAATTTACATAAAAGGAGTTAATGCTTCTTGGTAAAATTATCTTGCGTTTCTTTGATCTGTGCAGTTGATACTTATTACCTGTGTGAACAAAGATTATTATTCAGTGGGCTTGCTTTGATGGGATTTAAGGCTAATTCATACAAGCTGCTCTTAACAAATGTAATGATGTGTCTTAAATCATGTTTTAAATCATGTTTCCCACTTATTTGGATAGAAAAGATACTCAGGACAGCTTACAATTGTGTGCTGTGTGTTATGTACGAGATATATGTATATTTAATTCCTAGTATTAATAGTCAGCATAGCCCAATAATCAATTTACCTTAGAAAATCTCATAGATATAACCAGCATGTATTTAGCCTTGTGTTGTTTTATGGATCAGAAAAATTTAGAAATTGTGTTTTATGGATCAGAATACCTGTTGGTTAGACTCAGTAATTCTACGCTGCCATTCCAAGCTGGTTTCTCTATATTCTCTATTTTACTATGCTTATTTAATATGGTTTCAGTAGAGTTGCAAGTTATTTGACACATAATGGAACAGAATTTGCCATTTATAAATTTTGAAGTATTCTGTGTGGTACTGTTTCACCTTTATATGTAGCATATTGAATTCTATTTGCATAGAATTCAGTGCAGGAGGCACTAAAGCAACATTCTGGCAATTAGTTGGTGATCGAGGTCATTACTGGTAGCAGATCTTGGCAATCTGAAAGTCTTTTTTTTATAATAATTTTTATTAAAGTTTACAAATGCAAAGATAAAAGACTAATACAAACTAAGAAGAATATAAAAAGTAAAAAAAAGTAAAAGGTAATTTTTATTAAAGTTTACAAATGCAAAGATAAAAGACTAATACAAACTAAGAAGAATATAAAAAGTAAAAAAAAGTAAAAGGTAATTTTTATTAAAGTTTACAAATGCAAAGATAAAAGACTAATACAAACTAAGAAGAATATAAAAAGTAAAAAAAAGTAAAAGGTGCAAAGAAAAAGAAAAAAGAGTAAAAAATAAGAAAAAAATAAGAAAAAAAGATATATAAAGAAATGACTCCCCCCTCCCTCCAGACAAGTATAAACAACTTCAGTAACTTAACATTTTCTCTAATATTTCAGTTTAAAAAAATCTTTCCATATCATCTCTTATTAATAAACAGATTGTAAAAACTCATCATTCAGTCCTAATCAGCAAAATTCCATTAAGAGCTACCAAGAATAATAACATATATTTTTTCAATGTAATCAAATAAATCCATTTTGTATTCCAACTTACCACTTCCCTTAAAAATAAAGCAAAAGAAATCTCTCCCCATATCTTATCTGTTGTCTATAAACAAATTTTTAAAGCCTCATCATTCAGCCCTAGTGAAAGAAAAATTCCATTAATAGCTACCAGAAATTACAATCCCAAAATAATAACACATATGTTTTAACCTTAATCAAATAAATCCATATTGTGTTCCAACTTATTACTTTCTCTAAAAAATAAAGCAAAAGAGCTTTAAGATATGCAAAAAAGCATATCTTATCTGTTATCTATAAACAAATCTTTAAAGTCTCATCATTCATTCCTGGTTTTAAAAAAGTTCCACTAAATAGCTACCTGTCAGGCCCAGCCCAAGAACAACAATGAAACAGTCCAGTCCAGTCCAGTCCAGTTCTTTTATTTGCTTATACGTTATAGATAGAATCTTGCCAAACTAAATCTATACTACAGAAACTAGTGGATATACCCTGTGAGATTCTAGGGAGTGGCTATCCTGAGTCTCTTTTTCTTTCACATTCCCCCTGTGGACTATGCTGCCTCTTGCCTCCTGCCCCCTCCTGGAATGTACCCCCTCCTTCCTGATAGCCCTGATCTCCCACATCACTTTCCTCCTCATAGATATATTCCATCACACTACCAAAAACTGCAACACATATATTTTAACCCTGGTCAAATAAATCCACTTTATATTCCTTCCATTTACTTTTTAAAAGTTTGATCTTTAAATCCCTTCAAATAATGTCTCACAAGTTGATTTTTGATCATTTTCTCTTTGTTTCCTCTTTGGAACTTCTTCACTATTTAGCATGTCTCTTTTGTAAATCCAAGATAAGAAAGCTTTCCAAGTCACTCTTCTGAATTATTATTTGTATGTCCCCTTTAATTATTAAGACATCAGCTGGTTTCATTTGTAAATCCAATGCATCATCTTTTTCCATATCACTCTTGTAGTCTGACACTTTTAAATCCATTTTCAGATCCATGTTCAGATCATGGAGACCATGTTCTCTATTTTGTCCAGTAAAATCTGTTCATCTTCTGTAGCCTCTGTTAAATCCATTTTTATAGTAGTAGACAATCTTAAGAGTAATTTGGGTACATTGTTCCCAAATATCCTTGATTTCTTCTAAAGTCAAATAGTATTGCTCCATTGTATTAATGAGTCACTTCTCCTTTAATTGTAATCTTTAGTTCTCTCTGGTTCCCTCTAGTCAAACTTCAAAGTCCTTTCTTATCATATGCTTATCTTCCAATCAACAAAACTTTCCCACGGGAGAATTTCTTACAGTTAATTGCATATATATTTTTATAAAATTTTAAACAACTCATAGGAAATATTCTTTCAAGTCTTTCTGGCCCCTTAACTTTCCAAAATCAACATTCTAGTCTCTTTTGCTGTTTTTCAAAAGTAAAATTTTTTAATCCTTAAACTTACATGAAGCTTCTTCCATCAAGGATAGAAACTCTCCTGGCGTAATGAAACTTGCCCTTCTGAAAGGTCTTAACATCCAAAAAATCAATAACAGGCAATTTCCTAAGGTGATTAAGAGATGAATGGGGTTAACCCAGTGTCCTTTTGAAGGTACTGAACTGTGGCTTAGGCAAGATGATTCCCCCCTCCCCCCCGCTCCCAGAGCGGAGCCATCTTCAGCCCACCATTGCTTCTCTGGAAGTCTGCAATCAGAAAGTCTTAAATAGATTTAGTGTTAAGGTCCTCAGTTCTTTTTACTCTGCTGTTTAGTTATTTTAAGATATTACAGCTATGAATATAATAGGATAAGTTTGACAGGTCAACTGTTCATTTTAATTTTTGCCTTAGCAATAGAACCCAGTGCAGTGACAGATACATTAAAAATGCTTTCAGTGTTAAGAAACAGTATAGGAATAATAGTAGAAATATACTGGATGTGGCAAATTATTTTGTCAGTAAGATCTATTTTTATGCTTATTTATTTGTATCTTGATTTATTGGTCACTGTTGTCTTCCCACATGGTAATGTAATATGAGCAACAAAGGAAATTTCCATTTTAAGCTATAAATCTCTTGACTGAAAGGAGCAGATAGGAAAAGATATGTCTGGAAGCAAAGTGATTTTCAACATATTTATTATAAGCTTTAAGTGTGTATGTGTGTGTGTGTGTGTATGCATGTGTGTGTTCAGAATTTGCTCCTGTTCCTGCCATCAGCTTGTTCACGCAAAGTGAACATTGATCCATCTTAGCATGATGAAGCCCATAATGATTTGCTACACACTTCAAAAGTGTTCATGATCTCCCCCAGTTTAAGAACTTCTGACTTAAATGAAACATTTGGCCTTTTGGTAGAATCACCTATGGAGATTCTAGTTGGTATCAGTGTGGAGTTGCAAAATCTAGATGTGCCATCAAGAAGGATTTTTCTTGACTTTTGCCAAGATATCCATAGAACATTTTTTCTTAAATCTCTGTCTTTCTTCTCCCATCATGTTCATTGACTCA